GCCTGGGGTTGTTGTGACCAAAATGCAGGACCCGGCACTTGGCCTTATTAAACCTCATCCCATTGTCCACGGCTCTCAGGTGCAGTCCTTGGGCTGCTGGGGGGTTGTGGGGGGACTCTCCTGAAGGGTTTGAAGAGGGTCCAGCAGCATCTTTGATTCTGTTGTTTGGGTTTTTTTTCTCCAGGAGGTGAGTGTCGTGCCTGCTGAACTTCCCCAGACCCGCTAGCCATGCCAGGGATTGTCGTGTTCCGCCGTCGCTGGTCTGTAGGCAGCGATGACCTGGTTTTGCCCGCCGTCTTCCTCTTCCTCCTGCATACCACCTGGTGAGTGAGAAAGGCAGAACCACGGTTTCGAGTCTCCCATGAATTCTTTTTTTGCTATTCCTGTTTCTCGCAGCTGTAATTCTTCCTGCGCTTATACATGCGGCTGGAAGGCTTGTTTGGGGCATTTGTGACAGACACCACCATATTTCCAGCTTTTGGTTCTTTGGAGAAGTTCTATTCTAAGTTATAATTCCAGTTCCAAAGAGGGAGCCTGACCAGAGCTCCCTGTATCTTCCAGTGCTACCCAAGGTTGTCCACTGGAGTTTGGGGCTGTGTTTCTGTACCAGGGGCTCAGGAAAAAAAAAAACAATTGGAGTGGCAAATCCCATGGGATAATGTGACTTGATACAGATCAAATTGTTCAGACTGGGGTAGCAGGGCCTCTGGATGGCTTGTGGGGAGGAGATTTCCAGACCAAATTAATATGAATTCTAAGTAGCTGTGGGACACTGAGCATCCTCAGTAGCTTTGCGAGGAGAGCAGGTAACGGGATATTACGTGCAGCTTGCTTTGGCTTACTGCTGGTAACAAACTGGTTTGTGACTGGCAGGTTTGTGATCCTCTCTGTGGTGCTCTTTGGGCTGGTGTACAACCCCAACGAGACCTGCTCGCTTAACCTGGTGGACCACGGCAGAGGCTACCTGGGCATCCTGCTCAGTTGTATGATCGCAGAGGTGGCAATCATCTGGCTCAGCATGCGAGGCAGTATCCTCTACACAGAGCCCCGGGACTCGATGCAGTATGTGCTCTATGTCAGACTGGGTAAGAGGCAGCGGCCTGAGGCCTCCTAATGACTCAGCCTCCACATTGCCATCTGCTAGCGCAGAAGACTTCTCTCCCCACACCCTGACAAACACACAGCTTCTGAAAGACATCCAGATGGCCACTTGTATGTGATATGCATCTGAATACATCGCATAGACTGCACCCTGTCATTGCTGTAAGACTCTCATGCAATGCCCCAAATATCTTTCTAGCAAACCTTTAACTTGTCATCCTCATTTGCGATGCAGGTACATCCTTTTCCTCTAACCAAATATGCTCCCCTTCTGTCTCGCCACAGAGATCTGCCACAGCGAGATGCATCTACACCTCTCCCCCACCTTTTTTTTTTATTTTTTTCCACCCTTTTTCCTATGATACGGGCCTATATCCCTGTAAATCGTGGTGGTTCTGACCGCAAGGCGTGTGCGTGTCCTTCCCTGTCCTACACACACTTCAATCTACACCCACCCACCTCGAGACATGGACTTGACCTCTTGACTCACACGTGATGCATCTCTCCATCCAGCACCCTCCACTTTGATGCTCCCCCTCCAGGCACTGGGAGATAAATAGGTTTTACCACCTGCTCACTGGTTGCATCCTCTCTGGGTGCATATTTTGTCTCCCTAAAAACATTTCCTGTTTCACTCACCCACCAAGAACTAGATCAGAAAAGAGATTGTTCCTTGTTATCTTATTCCCCGGCTTCTCTTTTAGCTTGTCCTCCCTCCTCTGTTCTGTTGTCTTCCAGGTACTCCATCAGATTTTTCTGTGCCAAGTGAAGATTTTTAAGAGAAAAATCTTTTGGAGATGCAGAATCAGAGCCTTCCCAAAAAAACCATCTCATGTTTGTGCACCTCTATTTTGTGCTGGGTTGTTTTTTCTGCAGAATTCGCTAAAATTATGGGTAACTTTGCCTGTCTGGGAGCTCTAAAGCTCTGTCTGGGAGACATTTCCACCTTTTGAGTGCTAAGTGCAAATCATTAACGTGAATAGCAAACAAACCTTTCTGGTTTCCCAGCCACACTGCAGTCTCCCTAGGGAAGCACGTAGAGCCTGACAGTTTGAGGAACACGTGTTAAAACCAGACTAAATGGGGCAAGGGAGGTAGAGAGAATCCAAAGAGCCATTTTCCTGCCCAAGAAACATCCATTTTTTCTGCCTTTAAACCTGACGTGTGTTCAAGGATCTGTTTTTCCACTCGTATCTTGAGTCTTGTATGTGCTTATTTTGTGAGGCTTTTTATTCTTAATGGCTTTGTCGGTTCTGCTGATAGAAATAGGAGCGTGACCGTTGTGTGGGCAAGGTCCATGTGACTGTCCCATTTTAAGCCTGTGCTGTTTTGGCGCATGTGAATCTGGGGGAAAAAGTTCCAATATGAACCCAGAAAAATCTCATTTGTTCTCCTGCAGCAGGTAATCTCCGAGGGGAGAGGAGCGGAGGCGGGCAAAGCCCAGCTCGGTTTGAGAAGAGAAGTCGGGCTGGTTCTTCTTGGTTAAGAAGATAAGTCCAGCCTTGGTTCTTTGCCCGCTGCTGTTGAAAACTATTTGCTCTGTGGCTCTTTGAACTCGTTTTTCCAGGCCAGTGAGAGGCTTTAGGAAGCCACTTATGGAAAGATACTGTGCCAACACCTAGATAAGGAGGGTGGAGGGTTACTTGGCTGGAACGTGGGTTCAATCTCGCCTCCACCAAAAGCTTGGTGGGTGTTACTAAGCAGGTTATTTCCTCTCCTGTACTTTGGGGTTGTAATGTATGAAGGAATTGTGAGGATTGACACTTAGGAGCAGTGTTTCCCATCTTTTTTTTTTTGTTTCAGGGAGCCCCTGTCAACCCCCAGTTTCTTGTTCATTACCACGGTAACGTGCAAAACCGAGGAGCCGGTAAATAACTCCTTAAGGATCATGTCCTGGGAGCTATTACTGGCAGGACTGCAAAGGGCAGAGGTGCTGGGAACATTTGCTAGGTGTAATAAGCAGGATTAATCCTGGATACACACTATTTATCACATATCTTTGAACCCGGCAGCTGTTTGAGGTGGTTAATTAAACCCTAGATGGTGTCACCCGGTGATTCTCGTTAGCTAAGGGAGGCTTTCCACTGTCACAGAAGGGATGGCCATCGCTTCACACTCCTGATAACAGCCACAGCACTGACAGGTCTGTGCACATGGGGTCCCTGTGTCGTTTAGGTGTAATTAGTGTTAAGGACACATTACATTTTCGCTTCATTTTCTCAAATATCACCTTCCAAAGCATTGAGGCCCAGTCCTGCAGTCATTTCTTCTGTGCTACCGTCCTGCTAAAGAACCTGTCTTTGGGGTTTCCTCTCCAAAAGACTGGGAGGGGTGGTTGTTAATCCTTGGGGAGATGCTGCTACTATCCATTATCTTCCTTTTTCTTTTTTTATTTTTATTTTTTCCAGCTATCTTGGTGATTGAGTTTGTCTATGCCATCGTGGGCATCGTCTGGCTAACGCAGTACTACGCTTCCTGCAATGATATCACAGCCAAGAGTGTCACTTTGGGTACGTGTCTGGAACATGGTTTTTGTGTGTGTGTTCCTGTGTCTGTGCTGACATCACCTCGCCTGGGAGAGCTAATTCACTCAGGCCTGGGAGGATTGACTGTTGGATTGGGGCTGTAAATGTGGGGCTTGTTTTCTGGAGCCATTATTGCTCAGAACAGTTGTTCGTTTGTCTGCGCTGAGGCAGGAATTCCTGCTCCCATGGAAGGGGAAATCTCGGAGCCTTGGTTCCACTTCAGTTCTCAAATGGTTTTACTGTTTTCCTGGAATCCCTTCTCAATCTCCCCCAGTCTCCTGCGGGGAAAAACGATGCTAATGTTGTAGCCCCCCTAGGTACTTGGTGGCTGTTTAATGGCCTTCTGCATGGGCAGTCTCCTAAAACAGCTGGAAAACCCAGCTGTGGTTTCGAAGCCTTTCCAGAGGTTTTCCTTTTGCAGCAAGAATATTTGGGGTAACTTTATCTGCCCGGCAGCACTGGAGCTGGGTCTGTGGGTGGTGAAAAGCAGGGACTGACACAAAGCAGGGAGGGGTGGTTGATGCACCAGGAGGCTGTGCTGCCACACAGCGAGACCTGGACAGGCTGGAGAGTTGAGCAGAGAGGAACCTGATGACATTCAACAAAGGCAAGTGTAGGGTGCTGCTCCTGGGGAGGAATAACCCCCCACACCAGGACAGGTTGGGGGTGACCTGCTGGAGAGCAGCTCTGAGGAGAAAGACCTGGGAGTCCTGGTGGACAACAGGATGCCCAGGAGCCAGCAATGGGCCCTGGTGGCCAAGAAGGCCAAGGGCATCCTGGGGGACATCAGAAACAGCATGGCCAGCAGGTGGAAGGAGGTCATCCTGCCCCTCTGCTCTGCCCTGGGGAGGCCCCAGCTGGAGCACTGGGTCCAGTTCTGGGCTCCCCAGTTCCAGAAGGACAGGGAACTGCTGGAGAGGGGACAGCGGAGGGCTACAGAGATGCTGAGGGGCCTGGAGCATCTCTCTGCTGAGGAGAGGCTGAGGGACTTGGGGCTTTTTAGTCTGGAGAAGAGAAGGCTGAGGGGGGATCTGATCAACACCTATAAATACTGAAAGGGTGGGTGTCAGGAGGATGGGGCCAGGCTTTTTTCAGTGGTGCCCAGGGACAGGACAAGAGGAAACGGGCACAAACTGGACCATAGGAAGTTCCATCTAAACATGAGGAGGAACTTCTTGACTTTGAGGGTGGCAGAGCCTGGCAGAGGCTGCCCAGAGAGGTGGTGGGGTCTCAGTCTCTGGAGACATTCAAACCCACCTGGCCATGTTCCTGTGGGACCTGCTCTGGGTGGCCCTGCTCTGGCAGGGGGTTGGAGGAGATGATCTCCAGAGGTCCCTTCCAACCCCACATCATTCTGGGATTCTGTGACTGATGCTGCTGAGCATTACAAGCAGAGCCCCTGACTTCTGTCTTTGCAGGAATGGTGGTGTGCAACTGGGTTGTCATCCTCAGCGTCTGCATCACTGTCCTCTGCGTCTTCGACCCGACAGGCCGGACCTTTGTCAAACTACGCGCCACAAAACGGCGACAGCGCAACCTGAGGACGTACAACCTGAGGTAAAACCCTTTCTGGAAGAGCTGCTTTGCTTTTTTTTTTTGCCTCGTTCTTGACATTCTCTTTGCTTTGTTTCGGGGAACAGTCAGCTTCAGGCGGTGCTTCCCTTTGGTGAGGGTGCTGTTTGGAAGAAGGCGGCTCAGACTGTCAGGTGCTTTGTGTGGGCATCTGTAGCCAGAGGAGGCGAAACGACGCGGTTTCTGGCTGGATCCTGCCTTAGTCACTGGATTTGCGAATCCTTATGAGCCCCTTGAGCCAGTGCTGACCACGACAGCCTGTTTTTCCATCCCCTAGCAGTATTTTGCCTGGTAACAGCCACCCAGTGCTTAAATTTTGCTTAAATTCAGGCAGCACCACCTTCCAAAAACCCCCTTTCCTTCTTTATTTTTGTCTTCAATATACGACCTTTTGGCCTTGAGGTTTCTTGGTCTTGGCCAAGAAGCAGTTTCTTTTGTGTTGGCAGTCAGGTCTTTTAATTAAGAATTGATTGCATCTCTGAGCTACTCGGATGGGGATATGAAAGCTTTTTTTTTTTTTCAGTGAGCAAGGCATTTTTCAGAAGGGTTTTTTTTTTTCCAGTAGCAGGACAACACAAACAGCCTTTGTTTTTTGTTTTATGCGGCCTTGACATATGTAACTGTCAGCGAGGAATGTGGCTTTGTAGGACTTGAGGGCATTAGGTTTTGAAGGCTTTGGAAAAATACTCGGTGAATTTTGCATTTCTCCTCAGGAATGTGTTATTCGAGGGGTGTTATGAATACGTGCTCTTCCAGTGCCTGTAAAAAGCGTCCTTCAGGTTGCCTTTTTGAGGAAAAACTAGACTTTTCGAAGGACCACGCAGCAAGTTTTGTTTGGAGGGGCGTTTTTTTAATGGCAGAATAGAAGACATTTTTTCCTACCCTTTCCAATATACTAAAATAAGCATTGAATGTTCGGAATTAGTGCCTCGTTAACCAACCGTGTGAGATTACTGCGTTGTGATCAGGACATTCCCGGGGAGATGGGGACGAGGAGCTGTGACAACACTGGTGATCTAATACCCCCCACTACATCAAAGCTCTTTGACTCAACACGTTATTTTTCCAAAGGGAAACCGAGCACCACAAATTGAAAAGTGTTTTGTTTTTTTTTTTTTTTTGCCAGAGAACTTAGGAGTAAATCAAAACAACCCCAAAAACTCCTCTCCCTTGTGAGGAGTTTTGAGATCCCAGACAACTGAGTGAAGGTGTTTGTCCCTTGGGTTGTGGCCAGGTTTTTCCCTCCAGGCCTGTAACATTTTCAGGGAGCTTGTGCTGCCTCTTTTGCAGATTTTCGTTCCGGAAGGAGAGCGTTACCAGATGTTAACAAGCAAAAAAAAAACCTGCTGCGGGCTATAATGTGAAAGGGAAACTTAAAATGTTACTGTGTTCACTACTGAAGTAATTGTTTTCAAAGAATATGTTTTGAAATCCGCCACTTGCTTCAAGCAATCCTTTCTTAAGGATATATTGTAAAATTCTCTGCCTTTTTCTGGGTTATGATCTTATACGATGCTGGGGGCCATCCATTCCCTTTGAAATCCCTTGGTCTGCAGTGATCCGTGCCTTCTGACGCAGAGCAGTAGTTGCACCTTTGTATCATACTTAACCTGAGCCGTATTTTCTCCATTAACTCGTGAAAAATCCTGATTTGTTTATCACATTAAGGAGCTACGTAACTTTGGCTTCCTTTTTGTATCCCTCTGCTGTTGCTGTTGGACTCTGTTCCACAGTGGCTCTCCTTTAGCAGTGGCATCGTGATGTGTGTGGGCTTTTTTATGTTCTTGCAGAGCTAAGAAAATAAAACAACAAAACAAACGGCTCAGCTAATTGCTGAGGCTTTTCTAAGAAACTGGCTTGAGAGCTCCCACTAAACACGGGGAAGTTCAGCCTCGGGAAGAAAGAATTTGGGGAAAAACTTGGAGTGAAAACAGCTCCAGAGCACACTTGCTTGTTCAACCCCCGTGGTGAAGTTGTGAAGTTCTTTGCGTCGCTGCCCAAGTTCTTTGGCATTTGGTGGAGCAAAGTGTTTGCCAGCCCCGTGTCAGGACACAGTCCTGTTCCCCTTCCTCTTCCAGAGCCTTCCTTGGGAGTTAAAGATAGTTGTGTTAAAGCACTCGGGCACAAGTTAACCACATGCAGAGATAAAAGCTTGGGGAAGAGCGGCTGGAGAGCTGCCCAGCTGAAAAGGACCTGGGGGTGTTGGTGGACTGTCAGCTGAACAGGAGCCAGCAGTGTGCCCAGGTGGCCAAGAAGGCCAACAGCATCCTGGCCTGTATCAGGAACAGTGTGGGAGGTGATGTTCCCCCTGTACTGGGCACTGGTGAGGCCCCACCTCGAGTGCTGTGTCCATTTTAGGGCCCCTCACCACAAAAAAGATATTGAGGAACTGGAGCGGGTCCAGAGAAGGGCAATGAAGCTGGTGAGGGGTCTGGAGAACAAGTCTTATGAGGAGAGGCTGAGAGAGATGTTGTTCAGCCTGGAGAAAAGGAGGCTGAGGGGAGACCTTCTCTCTCTCTCCAACTCCCTGAAAGGAGGGTGTAGCCAGGGGGGGTCGGTCTCTTCTCCCAAGGAACAGGTGATGGGACAAGAGGAAATGGCCTCAAGTTGCACCAGGGGAGGTTCAGATTGGAGATTAAGAGAAATTTTTACACTGGGAGGGTTCTTAAGCCTTGGAATGGGCTGCCCAGGGCAGTGGTGGAGTCACCATCCCTGGAGGGATTTAAAAGCCGGGTTGACATAGTGATCAGTAACATGGTTTGGTGATGGTGTTTATCAGAATTAGGTTGATGGTTGGACCAGATGATCTTAAAGGTCCCTTCCAACCTAGAGAATTCTATGATTCCAAGTTGATGGATTGTCCTGCAGGATTTGCTCCTTCTCTTGCAGGAAAGTACTCCTTTACCAGCATTTTTTTCTTCTTTGCCTGATGTGATCACCCGTCAGAAAATAAAAGTGGTCGGTTTTTTCATTGATCTGACCTGTATAGAATTAGTCTGTGTTGACATTTTAAAAAAACCCAATGAACTAGTATTAGAGGAGCTGTGGACTTTATTATGGTGGTTCCTAAAACCTGGCTTGATCTAAGGAGTGTTTGTGGCTACAACAGGCAAAAAAAATAAGGGACTGTCTTAATGTAACCCTGCAAAATCTGCAAAAGGTAGTAACTGGGACAAGCTCACAGCAGTGGAGTGAACTCAGCTATATTTTGTTTGAAAGAGGGTTGTCCAATTAGCTAATTTTGCAGCTGCAATGGAAATGTCATATAAACCGAATGTGGGTTGAGCTAAACCTTCTGTATTCAGCCTTTTTTTCTTTTTTTTTTAACCTTTTCTAAATTGAAAGAGAACGTTTAGCTTGCTTTCCTTTTGGATGAAAGTTACGCACCGTACTTGAATAAAGAGTACAAATTGTTTGAGTTCTGAGACTGTATTATGTTTAATAAATATGTTTTTCCAAATAAGCTATTTATTGGAAAAAAAAATAATTGCACAGCTCCTCTCCTACCAAGTGCTCAGGATCTTTTGTCCCATTCCCACCCCCTGGGGCAGGGTTTTCCTACACCCTGGCACACGATGCAGCTGCCAGGTTACCAGCAGACCCTCCTTCCATCTGGAGCACCAGCTCCTCCTGGACATCCTGCTTCCAGCAGATAGAGAACAACAGTAGCTTCATTACAGCCATCATTCAGGCAGGTCACCATGGATATAAATACAGAGAGCCTTGGCCAGAACAGCAGATTATTGACCTTCTTGTCCTATAAAATGAGCTGAGTTGTTAATCTGTGTGCTGTCTCCTTGTCTCTGCTGGAGCAGGATAAATATAAGAAAATGGTTTAGCACACATTTTGCCAGTGATAGTGTGGGCTGTGTGACTTTGTGTTGGATCCTATTATTCGGAGATGAGAAGACTGCAGAGAGATCTTAGAGTCCCTTCCAGTCCCTCCAGGGGCTCCAGGAGAGATGGGGAGGGACTCTGGATGAGGGAGGGGAGCCCTAGGAGGAGGGGGAAGGGTTTGACACTGAAAGAGGGGAGATGGAGCTGAGATGTGGGGAAGAACTTGTTTGGTGTGAGGGTGGTGAGAGCCTGGCCCAGGTTGCCCCGAGAAGCTGTGGCTGCCCCATCCCTGGAGGGGTTCAAGGGCAGGTTGGAGGGGGCTTGGAGCAACCTGGGCTGGTGGGAGGTGCCCCCTTATCATGGAACTGGATGGGCTTCCTTCCAACCCAACCCATTCTGTGATTCCATGTTCTCCTGCCTGCCCTCATATACATACTCTGCCCTTTATTTACAGACACCGCCTGGAAGAAGGACAAGCCAGCAGCTGGACACGCAGACTCAAAGTTTTCCTTTGCTGCACGAGGACAAAAGACTCTCAGTCGGTGAGTACCAAATATCTCCTATCAGGGAGCAAGCTGTGTGTGTGGTGATGACACGTGGGACTCAGCAGAGTTGGGGTTCCTGCTGTCAAGCCTGGACCATGTGTGTCTCATTTCACCATGAGTGTTCTTTGAGATCTTGAGCCCGAGGAATCTGCTGGGCCTAGACAGTAGTGCACATAAAGGACTGGAAATCCCTTCCAAGAAGGGACAAATTGAGCCACCCTGGGAATGCCCAGGCTTGGAATCTTGCTGCATGTAGGTTCCTTTTCCTTCCTTTCAGCCCAAATAGCCCACACGAGCATTTGCCTTTCTGCAAGAGGAGCTGGGTATTCCATGCAGTGGTTTCCCTCTAGATGCAAATGTGACATCGATGGGTAGGACAGTTGTCCTTTCAAAGTGCCTTGCCTTAACCCTCTGGTTTTCAATATTACAGGACCCTCTGAGGGTAAAGTTAGCAATGAAAAGCAGTGGTGTCAGTCTTAAACTCTTCTCCTCAAGTTGTTCTTTACCTCGCTGTTGCAGTGAACTAGGATTATAATTTTACTTGAAGAAATACATATTTTTCACTATGTTTAGGTTCAATATTGGACAGCACTTTTTGGTCGGCTTCAGGTTCTCTTTATCAGCCTTTTTTTGCATCAGTCTCATACACTTAAGGAGAGAGACCTCTTTGAAAATGGGAAAATGTGATCCTCTCAGAATCCATAAAAGAATAATTCAGCAAAAATCCGAGTTATCAATCCATAGATTCACATGAAGATCATTGGTTTGAAGTTTTTATGTGCACAGTTGGGATTTTCCCTTGCTGTTATCTGGGAAGGGTAAGGGGCTTCATATCTCTTCCCCAAAAGTCCATTCTTACTGGGAGCAACGGGAGCAGGTTTGTGCCTTAGGGTGGCACAGCAGGATTCCTGAGGACCCTCTGCAGAGGTAAGCACCGAGGTGGAAAGTTTTCCTGATCATATTTAAATTGGTAAGAATTTAGGAGCATCTGAGGACTCTGGAAGGACCAAGCAGAACCAGAGAATTGTTATTAAAGCTAGAAGAAAGTCATAAAGATGGTGATACATCCACATCCTGAGAAGCAATTTAAAGTGCTTGCGTGAATATGGGATCTGAATTAGTTAGAACCTCTCAGGAAAAGAGCTAGGAGTTATCAAGGACGCTTCAGCAAAGACATCAGCGCACAGCAGTGGCCAAAAAATCAGAAAAAAAGGTTTAGCTTCAGTAGAAGGACATAGAAAATGACAGGGAAAACACCAAGGGACCGACATCCGTGATGTCCTCACTAAATATAGCCTGGTGTTTGGTCTCCTAAAAGATGCGGCAGAAAAAAAGGAGCATATTGGAGGGGCTGTGAACTTGTACAGGAAGAGAAATGAGGCTGGGATTTTAACCTCAAAAGGGAAGAGTGTAATAAGATGAAGAGCTGGGTAAGAATAATGGAGAGTCAGGTGAAGGCTACCTGAACATTTGTTCATCCCAGATGGCAACCAGTATGAATTAGATTAAAAGGGTTTTGTTGGAAACCGCAGGATGCGGTTTGTGAAGCGTGGCTGGCTGCAGGAATTGTCATCACCCTCTTGCGACGTGTCCTGGCACACTCCTCCTCCCAGTGGCTCCTGTGGTACTGGCTGAAATGCCACCGTGTTCCCAGGGAATGTCCCAGCCTGAAAAGTTCTAGCCCAAGATTGCCAGCTCTCAGGGATCATCTGCTGGAGCTGCTTAGGAAAATCCATCTGGAAAACTGAGACAAACCAGTTCAAACAGCAGCATTTCCTGGAATACTGTGTCCAGCTTTGGAGTCCTCAACACAGAAAGGACATGGACCAGCTGGAACAGGTGCAGCAGAGGGCCACGAAGATGATCAGAGGGATGGAGCACCTCTCCTATGAAGACAGGCTGGGGGAGCTGGGATTGTTCAGCCTGGAGAAGAGGAGGCTCCGGGGAGACCTTCTAGCGGCCTTTCAATACCTGAAGGGTGCCCATAGAAGAGCTGGGGAGGGACTCTTTAGCAGGAAGGGTAATGACAGGACAAGGGGAAACGGTTTTAAATTGGAAGAAAAAAGATTCAGATTAGATCTCAGGAAGAAATTTTTTACTCTGAGGGTGGTGAGACACTGGAACAGATTGCCCAGGGAAGTTGTGGCTGCCCCATCCCTGGAGGGGTTCAAGGCCAGGCTGGATGGGGCCTTGAGCAACCTGGTCTGGTGGGAGGTGTCCCTGCCCAGGGCAGGGGGGTTGGAACTCAATGATCTTTGAGGTCCCTTCCAACCCAAACCATTCTATGATTCTATGATTTCCTTGGCAGGGGGAATTTCATGCTCCTCTGCTGCCACTTTGCTGCCCCAGCAAAGTTGTTTCTGGGGACACCAGCTTCCCTTCCCCCCGGCAGCACAGCCAGGTCTCCTCACCCTGGTACCCAGAGATGCCCGTCCTGAGGGTGCACCGTGGGCGCAGCAGCCCCGGCCCTGAACCCTGCCAGGCATCCGAACGGCCTGGTTTCTGAACAACTCTATTTTATTCAGGAATGCAAAATATTTCACTTCATGTCAAGCTCTTTTTTTAACAAACTTTTCATTCTGCAGCGACTCTCTGTTTCGACGTGGTTTCTTTTTTTTTTTTTTTTTTTTCCACTTCAGGATAAAAGCAGATCCCAGAATCTCCAAATTCCTCATCCTATTGAATTTCCATTTTACATTCAGCCGGAGCAATTTCCAAGCTCTTTTCTTCTTCGCAGAAACAAGCTCTGACTTTGTGTGTCCTGGCATGACAGCGTGTGGAATGAATGCATATGTCATAGATGAGAAATTAATCCAGTGCTGTCTCTCCTAATCTTGATGGAATAAAAAATGTTCTGGGGTGGAGGGAGGATCATCCTCCTCTGGGCTGGAAAATAATTGCACGGAGGTGACATGGCATCAGGGCAAGAATCTCTTCTGATGGGTTTAGAGTGAAGGCTGAAGCACAAATCTCTGCCAGCCCCAGAGCCCGCGGGGTTTGTAGCAGAATATAATATCAAAACCTCTTTATTTTGGAACAAAACACGTTGAAATTCCATTACAGCCTTTTACTTCAGTCGGAGAATTAAAGGGTGTCGCCGTCACTTTAGGTCAGTGGGTGTTTGTCATATTTTACTTGCTTTTTTTGTCTGCTTGTAGGAACTGTGCTGAGATTGATGGGGTCAGTCCTTCAAGGAGACTGCGGTTGTAGTGGTGGGAGAGGTTAATGCTGGGCCTTTTGCTCTTCAAAGGCACAGCTGGCACAGAGACCTGCACAGTTGGCACCTGAAGCCCTGTTCTTAATGGGGATTTAACTCGCCTTTTTTTGTAGGCAAGTGAAAAATGAGAGAAAGTAATCTTGCACTCCAGGAGTTTGTCAGAGAGAAAAGAATGTAGGTCATTTCCTTCAAGACCGCTCAGGAGAGGAGACCAGCTCAATTTGCTTTCTTGCCTGGCAGAGAAGAGGGATGGAGAGATCCTGCCCTGAAGACCAACCTTTCTTCAAGTGCATGGCTTGGGCTTCCTACAGACAAGCTTTGGATGCTGAGGAAAAGGTGCTGTGAAAACACACCCAAAAAATTCTGGATAAAGTAGTGACAGACCTTGGTAGGAAAGTTTGATGGCAGGAGTTGAAATCCTGCCTGCTGGAGTACTACAGCTCTTGCTTAGTCCTGCTTCTTGTTGATCGAAGCCCTCAGTCATCCTTGTCTTAAAGCTTAGTGGTCTGAGTGATGGACAGATCATAGAATCATTGAATGGTTTGGGTTGGAAGGAACCTTAAAGACCATCCAGTCCCACCCCCCTGTTCTGGGAAGGGACACCTCCCACCAGCCCAGGTTGCTCCAAGCCCCCTCCACCCTGCCCTTGAACCCCTCCAGGGATGGGGCAGCCACAGCTTCTCTGGCCAACCTGGGCCAGGCTCTCACCACCCTCACACCAAACAAGTTCTTCCCCACAGCTCAGCTCCATCTCCCCTCTTGCAGGGTCAAACCCTTCCCCCTCCTCCTAGGGCTCCCCTCCCTCATCCAGAGTCCCTCCCCAGCTTTCCTGGAGCCCCCCTTCTTTAGGGACTGGAAGGGGCTCTAAAGTCTTCCTGGAGCCTTCTCTTCTCCAGGCTGAACCCCCCAACTCTCTCAGCCTGTCCTCCCAGCAGAGGGGCTCCAGCCCTCCCAGCATCTCCAGGGCATCCTCTGGCCCTGCTCCAACAGCTCCATGTCCTTCTGTGCTGGGAGATCACCATTGTCTCACGGTCCAGCCCATCTCCAACCTCCCAAACCATTCTCACTTAAAATCTTGCGGGTTTTTTTTTTTTTTTTTTTGTAGTACAGAGCAACAGCGAAAATACCATTTCTCCTCAAAATATCTTTGTCACTCCACTTCGGAGCTTTTCCTTGACCCTCTCGTGTCACTTCCAGCTCTGTCCTTCCTGTGGTGCCTTCCTTTCTATGGTTTGGTCATGTGCTCTTCTGGGAGCTCTGCATTTAATGTCTTGGATCTTCTTCCAGGTTTTCCTTTTCAGGCCCTTTCTCTTGGGTGTAATCCAAGATAAACCTGGAAGAGCTGGGGAACTTGCTCGGCTCCTTTGGTACCAAGAGCTGCCGTGTGTGACGTGCTTGTTGTCATTAACTCTTTGAAATCACGTAGCAAAGGGCCCGATGGTGAAGAATGAACAGCTACAGAGCTCCAAAAGCTGTTGCTTCCTCTATGATAACCCCAGGATGCTGAGGGCTGGGTTAAGTGTGGCTAAAATGATCCCAGGGCAGATAGAGCATCGAAGAAGCTGTTAAATAGACAAAAAATAAGTGTTTTTTTTATTCCTGAAGAGCCTTTGTTCTAATGAAATTGCTGTTGAGGAGAAAGGATGACTTTGGAAGGGGATTTGCTTGGTTTTCATCTTATTTCTTCTGTTTTATTTACAATGTAGAGAAGGAAAGGTTTCCTTTCTCTCCCTTCTGTCTCCTGTGTCTGTTTGGATGTTGAGGTGATCTGTTTGCCTGCACACAAGGAATATTCCACATTCAGTCTCAGCCGAGGCCTCTGGGTGTGACTATGTAAAATAAATAAGAGATACTAATACGATGAGACCAGATATGGTGTTCCCTGAAGGAAATCTGGATGTTTTGGAATCGAGAACTACAGAAATGAGGCCGTTGCTGCTGCATGAGTTCTCGTCTGTGTCCTGTTTTGAGGCTCCCCACACCCAAACTCCTCCTCAGCTCTTCTCTTCCCTGGCTTTTGCAGGACGCCTACTCCGAAATCGCCTACCTTTTTGCCGAGTTCTTCCGAGACCTTGACATTGTCCCGTCTGACATCATCGCGGGCCTGGTTCTTCTGCGCCAACGGCAGCGGGCCAAGCGCAACGCTGTGCTGGATGAGGTGGGTGACATGGGGTGGGGGGGGACCATCAGTGTGGCATCTCACTTGGCCTCTGACTGACCTAGAAGATCTAGGTCTAGCGGCCTAGAACATCTCTCTGCTGAGGAAAGGCTGAGGGACTTGGGGCTTTTTAGTCTGGAGAAGGCTGAGGGGGGATCTGATCAACACCTATAAATACTGAAAGGGTGGGTGTCAGGAGGATGGGGCCAGGCTTTTTTCAGTGGTGCCCAGGGACAGGACAAGGGGAAATGGGCACAAACCTGACCATTAGAAGTTCCACCTAAACATGAGGAGGAATTTCTTGACTTTGAGGGTGGCAGAGCCCTGGCAGAGGCTGCCCAGAGAGGTGGTGGAGTCTCCTTCCCTGGAGACATTCAAACCCCACCTGGACACGTTGCTGTGGGACCTGCTCTGGGTGGCCCTGCTCTGGCAGGGGGTTGGAGGAGATGATCTCCCGAGGTCCCTTCCAACCCCACAGCATTCTGGGATTCTGTGATTTTTAAATTAACTTTGTGTGGATTTTATTTCAAACACAGCAAAGCCAGATTGTTTTTGCAATTAATTTCCCCTAGGGATTGTCAAATTCCCTTTGTTTTGGTTTTTTTTGGCATGCTAACCCATAAACCTTAGTTACAGCCATGGTTTGGAGCCATGGTGGTGGAGTCTCTGTCTCGGGAGACATTCCAAACCCACCTGGACACGTTCCTGTGGGACCTGCTCTGAGTGGCCCTGCTCTGGCAGGGGGTTGGAGGAGATGATCTCCAGAGGTCCCTTCCAACCCCATAACATTCTGGGATTCTGTGACCTGCTGCTCCTGTGACTCAGTGTGTGACAACTGCACCCCTCTGCCCACCTCATTTCTGTTGTGTGATGGGTTTCTACCGGTCACTGATCTGTAAAATCTAAATATTAACAACTTTAGCAGCTTTTTCTGAGGTTCCCAAAGGACCTGAGTGCCACCGAGTCGAGGTTGTGAAACCTGTCGTCATTACTTAGCAAGTGATAATAAAGATTTAGCTCTTGACCCTAAATGGACAGCTGCCTCGAAGGAGGTGGTAGGTCTTTGATATCAAATGGGAAGATTATTTCTCCTATATAGTGATATAGGGAAAATTCCAGCATCTGGGGAATGCTGCAGAAAGAACTTTAGGGAAAAATTCCTAAATTCCCAAGCCATTATTGGCATTGAATTTTGTGGATTGTCAACCCAGTAAAAAACAGTTTGGGTGTTGCTTTTTTTTTTCCCCCAGAAGTGGGATTCAGACAACAGCAATCAAATCGGGCAGAAATAAGACCAGCAGAACTGGAACCAGTTGAAGAGACTGGTTGAGTTGCTTAAAAGCAGCTTGTCCCAGTTTACGTAGCGCTTTCTGTTTCTTGGGCGGTAGATTTTTGTCTTGGTGTCAAAGAGAAGAATTTTTCTGTTTGTGACTTGCAGGCAAACAATGACATTCTAGCTTTTCTTTCTGGGATGCCAGTGACCAGGAACACGAAGTACCTGGATCTAAAAAACGCGGTAAGTTGCCGGATTGTGATCTTGCAAACTCACCACACTTCCCCCGTGTAATCTGTTTTCTTTTTCTCGGCGGCTTCTTTCATTCCTTTCCGCCCCCTCTCTGGAATAATCCAAGAAATTGGGTACAAGAGGGGACAGCAGAGGCTACAAAGATGACGAGGGACCTGGAGCATCTCTCTTATGAGGAAAGGCTGAGGGACTTGGGGCTTTTTAGTCTGGAGAAGAGAAGACTGAGGGGGAATCTGATCAACACCTATAAACATTGAAAGGGTGGGTGTCAGGAGGATGGGGCCAGGCTTTTTCCAGTGGTGCCCAGGGACAGGACAAGAGGGGACGGTCCCAAACTTGACTATAGGAAGTTCCATCTCAGCATGAGGAGGACCTTCTTGACTTTGAGGGTAGCAGAGCCCTGGCAGAGGCTGCCCAGAGAGGTGGTGGAGTCTCCTTCTCTGGAGACATTCAAACCCCACCTGGACACGTTTCTGTGGGACCTGCTGTGGCAGGGGGTTGGAGGAGATGATCTCCAGAGGTCCCTTCCAACCCCATATCATTCTGTGATCCTGTGAAATTAAAGATTAGCACAAGAGAATATAGTAACACCACTTGCTCTCTGGAGGCATTTTGTCTCCAGATCTCTTTTAAAGCACTATCTCTGGGCTCCTCTTTGTGGGAAGTGTTGGTATTTCCACTGGGATGGGAGAGAAGGGGATGGGAGATTCCTCCAAAGCCAGAAGTAAGAGCTGAGCGCTGCATCCAGGAGTGTCCTGCAGAGCTCCATATGGAAGTCCCACCAGCAGAGTGAGATGGAGCCTTCCTCCCTGGAGATTATCAGCATTTCTCAGGATGGAAGTGGCTGTGGTCTGTTCTGTGGGGAATTAAGCTTGGTTTTTCTTCTGCTGTGCCGCTATTGCAGCTATTCCCCCCTCCTCTGTTTGCTGATACTGGTGCGAGAGGGACAAAACTGACCCAATCCCAGCATCTCTGCTCCAGTGGTTCTGTCATTAACCCACTTGTGGCTGAGCTGTACCACGCTGTGTTTAATTCTGACATCCTGCTCATGCTCAGCCTGTCTCTCCTCCTGAATTAGGCATATGGGGGGAGAGATGGCAGCAGAGCTTATAGAAGACACCACTGAGCCCCCAAACTGGCTTTATGGTCCTCTTTGGGCATCTTCTTCATGGCCTGTGGCTATATGGAAGCACTATTTTTACAGAGCTTGTCCTCTTGGGACTTAAAACTAGTTTATCTTCTCCTCAGCTAGGGTAGGATGGGGCAAAAAACCCTGCTTTTTTTGCAACTGGGTGTTTGATACCCGGAGAAGTTCCTTCCAGTCCCTCAAGGGGCTCCAGGAAAGCTGGGGAGGGACTCTGGATGAGGGAGGGGAGCCCTAGGAGGAGGGGGAAGGGTTTGACCCTGAAAGAGGGGAGATGGAGCTGAGATGTGGGGAAGAACTTCTCTGCTGTGAGGGTGGTGAGAGCCTGGCCCAGGTTGGCCAGAGAAGCTGTGGCTGCCCCATCCCTGGAGGGGTTCAAGGGCAGGTTGGAGGGGGCTTGGAGCAACCTGGGCTGGTGGGAGGTGTCCCCCCATCGTGGAACTGGATGATCTTTAGGGTCCCTTCCAAGCCCTTTAATGAGTGGGGTCCCTCCACTCGTAAAAATGGGCAGAGCTGGTTTGGGGAGGGGGGAGGATTTTGCCCAGCATAACCAGTTTGCTCTCCTGCAGCCACCTGGAAGTGCTGACAGTGCTGTTCTGGTGGAGCTGAGAGAAGGCTGACGCTCAGAAAAAAAGGGTGCACGTGTCTAACTCTGATGGAAAAAGGGAAAACGGTAGAAAAAAAAATCCACCCTCAGTCTCTAAAAGAGAATAAGGTGTTTAGTGAGTGTCCTGTCTCTTTCAGCAAGAGATGCAGCGGTACAAAGAGGTGTGTTACTACATGCTGTTTGCCCTGGCTGCCTATGGCTGGCCCATTTACCTGATGAGGAAGCCCACATGTGGACTCTGTCGCCTGGCCAGATCCTGCTCGTGAGTGGCCACCCTGTCTCTCACCCTTCCTTCTCTTCCCTTTTCCCTTCTATTTCTCCCAAACTTAGAATATTCCTTGCTCTCACCATCACCCCTTTATTAGTTCTTCCTCCTTTTTTCCTCTGCTTTTTTCCTCTTCTCCCTTCCCGTGCTTTTTCTTTCCATCAGTAACTCCCGGCCTTCCTACTCCAACGTCTTCCTCCTCAATCTCTTCCTCACAGTTGCTTATTTTGGTGAATAAACCAGACTGTCCCATGCTCTGTCCTCTCCAGCACGCCAAGGATCACGCCAGCCCTGTGCAGTTTCAGCAGAAAGACCTCAGCTGGCACAAAGCCGCTTTCAAACCGAGTCAAAATAGCCGTCTTGGAGCTCAGAGAGCAGATTTATCAGCAAGCCCAGATACTCAGGAAGCTGACATTTGGGTCTTTATTAAAGCATTAGCAAGATTTGGCTGGAGATTGTGCTGTGTTCTCTCTTCACTAATAGTTTTTCTGCCGTGCTGGGGAGCTCTCGCCGCACGGTAGCGATGTTGGAGTTCAGGATGGCGGGGTTTGAAATGTTTGCTTTCGGCTGCTGTGATTCCCTCATAAAATTCTCTCTGGGGTCAAGCTTTTTGCACTTACACGGGCAATTTCTGTGCTGAACTTAGGAGGAGGAATACACTTTTTGAGCACTTTTGCTTCTGAAGGGTCTCATAAGGGACAGAAGGAAAAAAAATCCACTGGTTTTGTTCTGGGATGATTCTAGACCTGTTTTCTTTCCTTTTCCTTTTTCCTTTTCTTCCTTTTTTTTTCCTTTTCTTCCTTTTTTTTTTTTTTTTCTTTTCCTTCCTTTTTTTTTTTCCTTTCCTTCCTTTTTTTTTTCCTTTTCTTCCTTTTTTTTTTCCTTTTCTTCCTTTTTTTTTTCCTTTTCTTTTTAAATAAATCTAGCTCTCAGTAAACACTTTGTGTGTTGGAGCAAGGTAGGACCGTGCTGTGAAGTGTAGTATCCCTTGAGGAGAGATCCCAGCCCCACCAAGCGTCGGTTCTTCGGGGACTGGTTGGGCTGTAGCTCTCTCTGGTGCTCAGAAGGAAAACTGCAGCTGGGCCCAGTGCCCTTTTTTTGATGTTGGCTTGTATCAAAAATAGTGTGACCAGCAGAAGTAGGGAGGTGATTGTGCCCCTGTGCTCAGCACTGGGGAGGCCACACCTCGAGTGTTGTGTCCAGTTTTGGGCACCTCAATCCAAGAGAGATCTGGAGGTGCTGGAGCGAGTGCAGAGGAGGGCAACGGAGCTGGTGAGGGGCCTAGAAGACAAATCATATGAAGAGCGGCTGAAGGAGCTGGGGCTGTTTAGTGTGAGGAAGAGGAGGCTGAGGGGAGACCTCATCACTCTCTACAACTACTTGAAAGGACACTGTAGAGAGGTTGGTGCTGGTCTCTTCTCACAGGTAATTAACAATAGAACGAGAGGGAACGGCTTCAAGCTCCAACAGGGGAGGTTTAGACT